GAGTACAAGTCTCCACCACCTGCTGAAGCATCCTGGAGGAGGTAATTTTCGTTTTCTTTTTCCCTTGCATTAGCTGCTTCACTTGTAATTCGAATGCAGTGACGACGGGAAATTGTTGACGTCTACCGACTTAGCGCAGGCCATGATTCAGTCAGCTAAGTAAAGTACATGATGTACATTATTATAAAATTTCTCTGCTCCTACAATGGGATTGGAGTTCTCTTATCAAAATAAAAGAGCTAAGATTCCATTTTTGAAAGCAGTGCTGGATATCTCAATGGCTTGGTTCTGTACCGTGTTCTGGTAAATGTGTATTGTCCTGATTGCAGAGAAAGGGGAAAGGGCTCTCGAGGCGAAAGGTTGGCCGTTGCATCGGAGAACGCCTGAGGATCCACACCACATGTACAATTTCTTTTTAGCATCGGAGCGTTTTGCAGTTTTGTCCTAAAATTTGATGTGTGGATCATATACCGGCTCTCTACAAGGTGACCTTCTAAGTTTTCCATTTTCTCTGGCCGGGTTCTTTGGAGTTCTTGAAGGGGGAGCCTTCAGCCTTGCCGCGCAGGTCGAGGTGTTGCCGTTGTGATTTGGAGGTTACGGGTTCGAGTACCCGTTTCCGGGCTCTCAGAAAACATTGTTAGTGTTATTGCAATTGCCGTGGACACTGTAATGCAAAATGATACCCGTTGAAGCTTCACAAAAAAAGAAAAATAATGTAAGATTTGGTTCTTTGGTTTCGTGGTTCCTATATATCAGAATTTTGACTGTAGATAAATCATCTTAAATAAAATTTCTTGTAATTTTATTTCTTTAATGAATCAAGCATCCAACGAGGACTCTACAGTCGGCTGATCGTTTCGGTTCGATTCTTCGGAACTGAATCGTACCGAATCGAAAATTTCGGTATTTTTTTTTTAACCGTATCGTCCAAATATCCTGAGACGAAACCAAATTTTATAAAATTCCCAAAAAAACCGAATTTTTCTTAAAAAATTTTATTTTTTTATACAAAAACCGGAACCGTAACGAAACCGAAACCAAACAGAACCGAATAATATATGATACTAATTTGATATAAATTTTAGAATACTGAATAAACCGTTCTTAAACCGAACCACTAAAATTTCGATTCGAATCACTAAACGTCCACCTCTAACCATTAGAAGTGGAAGTGGCGCAATTAAATATATCTAAATATATTTTAACTAAAAAATAGATTGCAATAGCAATAATGTTTTCTGAGTGAATTAAGGGAATAAAAATATTTTATTAGTTAAACTGGATCCTAAGTTCAAATTACTATCGTTTTACATTATCTTCATCAGGTATTTAAATTAAATATCCGTATTCAATTTAATTATTTTCTAGGTGTATACATTTTGTGTGAGTTGGGTGGAAAGGGTAGGTGGAGGATTTTTTTTGCTCACAAGGAGAGGGCGGCCCCCAAAATACCAAACCCACCAACCTCTTCGAGACCCACCAAACTCCGATCTCCATTAAAGCCCTCCTCCTTCCTTCATCTTCTTCCTTTTTATTTTATCAATCCTGCTGGAAATTATCATCGGCAATGGCGTCCTCTCTCGCTTCCAAGTCATTCCTCGGATCCGCCAGACCCGATTCGTCTCTGGGCTCTTCTCTTCCTCCGGAGCTCCGTCGTTTCTCCTCTCCCGCCGTTCAATTCGGGCTCCGTACTCGAACCCGGAAAAATCTCCGTAAGGGTCTCTCCGTTTACCTGACTGTCGTCGTTGGTTCCTTTTACTGCCGTTACCGTTGTTTATCTGTAGAAAAATGTTGACTAGTTTGCTCGATTGTTGCGTCAATTAGGATTCTCTGGAGTTACTTGAGCGCCCATGTTTGATATGTCTAGCTCTTTTGTTGTCTGAGATTGACCCTCTGCTCATTTCGCGAGTGAAAAAAGGCGGGCAAAAATGTCCGATTGTTGAGTAAATTCTGGTTCTATGACGTAGCTTGGTTGCCCATGTTTGATGTTTCAAGCTTTTGTGTTCGTTGGGAGTGGACAAAATTAGGAGCCTCTTTGAATTTTCCGGTCTCAAATTCCGATCTGCTTATGTGAGTCAAGAATGCAGTACTCCGAGGAGAATGTGTCCTTGAGGTTGAGGACTTTGTCCGAAGGTTCAAAAGGTCTTGATCCATGTTTGGAACCTAGCTCTAAGTACATTCAGTGGGATGATGAATAGATAGATATACATTTAAACGATAAGACAGTGGGGAAAGCAACTGCTTAGAGTATCATATTTTGGGTGTCAAAATTGCAGAGATAAAAGCGGCTGGGAGCACATATGGAACTCACTTCCGTGTTACCACCTTTGGAGAATCACACGGTGGCGGAGTTGGCTGTATAATAGATGGATGTCCTCCGAGGATTCCGCTCTCCGAGACTGATTTGCAATTTGATCTTGATAGGAGGTAACTGTTGAAACCCTTTTATAGCTTTTGCATTTGCGTTTCACTCTTACAGTGGCGGCTGATTTGCTGTTCTGAATGCGTTTTCAGGAGACCCGGTCAGAGCAGGATCACAACTCCTAGGAAAGAGACTGATACTTGCCGCATATACTCTGGTGTCTCGGAAGGTTCTGAGCATTGCCTTCTAGGCTTGAATTTGATTTGTTGGTTCTCATCATCCTCTAATTGTTGATGTCGATAAATGCAGGATTGACTACCGGAACACCCATCCACGTGTTTGTGCCAAACACGGATCAGAGAGGATTTGTAAGTTCCATACCAAAATACTTGGTGCTTATATCTATTTAAGTAGAGGCTCAAAGATGGCTCATGGACAATATCTTTCACATTTTTGAGTACCTAAAGTAGCATTAAAAAGAAAGAGATCGAATTGCTGATAGCCACATAAAAAAGACTAAAACACCCTCATCGGATTTTCAGGACTACAGTGAAATGTCTGTTGCCTATAGACCTTCGCATGCTGATGCAACTTATGACATGAAGTATGGTGTCAGATCAGTTCAGGTAAGAACTAATATTCCTTTGTTATGCCTAGCTTTTCTTGGGTTAGGTTCTTTATGTTGTATGAAAGAGCATCTTTTTAATTGAACATATCTGTTTGTTAAAGGGTGGTGGGAGATCATCAGCTAGAGAGACCATTGGAAGAGTTGCTCCCGGAGCTTTGGCCAAGAAAATCTTGAAGCAATATTCAGGAACTGAGGTGTGTAATTAATTAGTTGGCACTTGGCATTGCAGCTGAAGAATGATAACATTGTTGCTATGCTTGGAACTATTTTTTGTCATTTTGCATGTTTTGTGCATCCTTCGTCAGTCTTTTTCAGCATGGGACATGTTCTCGTTGTTTCTGTAATTTCACTCGTTGACCCAAATGCGAAAGCACACAACTTGTTCACGTCTTGCTAAATTTTACCACTGTATCTTTTGTCTCCAGATTCTTGCTTATGTCTCACAAGTCCACCAGGTTGTACTTCCCGAGGATCTGGTAGACCATGACGCTTTGACCCTCGAACAGGTATATGACATGTTTTAAATTCTGCCATTACATTTCAGTTCAGGGTTTTCAGCTTCATTTTGTTTGTGAGCTTAAACCATAGAGGTGTGAAAATCGATGTTTTCATTTACTCTTGCTGTAAATTTTGCTGCAATTTCCACATATGCGCAATTATGATTACATTTTCCTGATCTCATTTTGCTTGTGTTGTAGATTGAAAGTAATATTGTAAGATGTCCTCATCCTGAGTATGCGGAAAAGATGATTGCAGCAATTGATGCTGTCAGGACAAAAGGAAACTCTGTTGGAGGTGTCGTTACCTGCATTGTTAAGAATGCTCCACGAGTACGGTCTCACTGTGACATTGAAATATCCGATGCTGTGTTTTCCTGTAAAGTAGTGCTGAATAAACTAAAGAATCCACACTGCAGGGGCTTGGGTCGCCGGTGTTTGATAAGCTTGAGGCTGAACTTGCAAAAGCTTGTATGTCTTTGCCTGCAACAAAAGGCTTTGAGTTCGGCAGTGGCTTTGCAGGTACAGAAAGTTCGACCATTTGAATGCCCTTTTCACAAGTAAAAAAAATGAAATTTCCATCCCAAAATCCTATGAACCTGCTGCAGGTACATTTCTGACTGGTAGTGAGCACAATGACGAGTTCTATACAGATGAATATGGAAGGATTCGGACGAAAACAAACCGTTCTGGTGGAATACAGGTCGGTTTTCAGCATTTTCATTCTTAAAACAGTCGTATCTTTCCAACGAATGCTGACTCTTTCCACCGAATGCTGACTTTTCAGGGAGGGATATCCAATGGCGAGGTAATAAACATGAGAGTAGCGTTCAAGCCAACTTCCACCATTGGAGTAAGTTCAAATTTGTATAGAAAGAAGATATTAACGTTCATTTCCCAAATAGTGAAAACGACATGGCAACAAGAATGTAGCTCGAGCTCATATTATGTATTCTTCCAATCCGCAGAAGAAGCAGAACACTGTAACAAGGGATAAGCAGGGAACAGAACTGATAGCACGTGGCCGTCACGATCCATGCGTTGTTCCAAGAGGTTAACCAATCAAATCTTTGCAATACCCAGTTATTATTTCTACCGCTGTTGCAGAAAAAAACTGTTTTTTTTTGTCTGAAACTTGGGTTTTGGTTACGCAGCTGTTCCAATGGTTGAAGCAATGGTAGCTTTGGTGCTTGTGGATCAATTGATGGCACAATATGCACAATGCCATTTGTTCCCCATTAACCAAGATTTGCAAGAACCTCTTGCAACCCACCAGATCGAGCAGCAGCTCGAGGATGCTTCTTTGTAGAAGACAGAAAAGCAAAAAAAAAAAACCGTTCTTCGATTTTTATGGGCACTCACAAAACTCGCCAGAGTTCATATTCCATTGTTATATGGGTCTACATTTTGAGTATATGTACTGTTGTTGAGTCAGGCGCGTGGAGTCGGATCCAACACTCATTCCTAAGTTTACATTTTGTCTGTAATAAAAGCAAAAATAACAGTTTTGTGTAGTAGCTGTGGAATTCATTTGAGTTCCACTTGAGTGTCTTCTCGTATGGTTATGTCTTGTTTTAGCTGTGGGAGGGAGAAGTGTGACGAAGGGTAAAAAATTCTATTTAAGTAAAGAAAATGAATTGGAAAAAAAACTCGAATTCAAACACAGATGACGACGAGAGGTGTTTTTGTCCATCGCTGAAAAGGGCAACGCTACAAATCTGAATGACAGAGGGTGGATAGAGCAGAAATGAAATAAGAACGACCCGAATTGAGAAAAGCTTATGGACCAAACAAAGAGGGTCTGATCGATGATACACCATCGGACCATTTATTTCACAAACACAGACAATTAAGGTATGAATGAGTTTATCGAGCACAAAGCCCCGAATGAAGAATCCGAGTTTAGAACAACAAGACGGTATGCTTTTTTGCGGCCTTAGTTCCTGACCGATGTGACGTGCTTCAGAAGCATCTGGACAACGTCGTTGGAGATTGCAGAAGCCTGCGTCTTAAGCTGGTCGATCTTTGAGTCTGTCTCCTGCTCAAGCCGTTTTACGTTGGCACCTGAATCTCCGCTCGTCTGCGCTTATACAATCAAACATAAGCATTTTCCGACACGCAGAAAGTAAATATGAAAGACGAGATTTTGTTGTAGTTTATGAACCTCAGCCACTTTTCTCTGAAATTCGGCTTCTATTTGGGCACGGAATTCGGCAATCTCCTTCTCAGCTTCTTCCTTGGCCTGTTTCAGCCTAGCCAGTTTGGCTGGGATAAAACAAGAAACTCAGTTCAGGGAATCAAATGCACTGGTGCAAACCCATCTTTCCTTTGCAAGAATGGCCATTGGAAGCTAGAGCAGAGTTGATTTTGATATGAAAAAACTCAAGCGCAAATCAGTTTTAAGATCCATACGCAGTTACAAAAAGGAGTCAAAAGGCAATGAGAAAGCAACGAACGGAACAGAGCCGCTCAACAAGAAAGCAACGAGAAAGCAATGAACGAAAGCAATGGACAACTTGCCTATGTCATCGACCGGAAACAAAACAATGTAAATCCGTTTCTCTGGATGAGTTCAGACTTCATACTCAAAGTGTTTTTGTTTTGGTAATCTATAAAAGAACCCGAAAGCTAAAGATCCCACAAGACAGGGTATCTTATATACAACGGCATAGATTGCAGAAACTAACCATTTCGGGCGGCATTGACAATCTGCTGAGCTTCTTGTTCTGCAGCAAGTAAAAGTTGAATTCCGTTCTGCCCCCTGCTAGACTCCATTGTCACAGAACTTCTTTGCACTGCGAAATTAGTAACATCATCATTTACGTCATTAGCTTGCCAAAAAGATCAAATCAACAGATAACTGCAGTAACAAAAATATCTACTGTAGATTGTTTGATCTTCAATGAATGAAACAGTTCAATTTGTACTAACTAGTTCTTGAAAACACCCGGCAGATAATTTGCAAAGTAAAAGCGTTTAAAGGAAATACATAGAGAACAACTAGCAAAATTTTGATAGACTATAAACATAAAAAAAAAGCATCCAAGCATCAGAGCATTAAACTAAAATATTGGGTTGAGAAAATGGTGGAGAAAGAGAGAAGCACCATCAGATTAGTGTAGGCGCACATTCAGATTCATCGAAGAACACCGATAATCTTCCGCATAAAACCAAACAACCGAGGATCTACCAAGTATAAAAAGAACATATCTACAGAGAACAAGCACAAGCAACAAACCTCAAGATTCACTCAGTTCCTAGGCTAAAGCAAGAATCTTGACAACAACAATGCGTTTTGTTCAGAGAATACCACAGGTTCTTAAAGCAAATTCGTATAATCAATTTGTGAATTGAGCCCCCAAAAAAAGCGTATATGGTTCCAAAAAACCACAACTTTTAAAAAACAAATTGCAGACGAAATCAACAATACTTACCAATTGATCTGTAGTCTAATACGCACAACACAAAAACGAACTCTGAGAAGCAGAGTCAAGCTTTTATCCTCTAAAAAAACAATCCCACGAGTAAAATCCCAATCGCCAATCCGATCAAACCCACCCATCACATTCGATCGGCGAAATCCATCATTACATGAACGGGACCCTAATGTGCCATTAGTCCGATTCATACAAGGAAATCGGA